ATGAATCGGCCCATTTTCTACTGATGTTACCTGAGGAGTATATATTTTTGGTGGGATTCTCCAATATTTTGTCTCCATTTTCTGCAATTTCACATATTGGAAACAGCTCCACTGCAATGGATGCACCCAGCTGTGGTAACTCCTTTTCCCTTTCTTCCTAAACCCATTGGGTTTAATTTCTTTACTCTGTTTCTTTATGGGTTTTGAGAATTTTGGTTGAATGATTCAAAGATTTGTGCTTTATTAATTTACTTGAGATTCTTTGTTTTCTGGTTTACCTACAAAAAAATTAGACTCGTAAGCTAGTAAACTGCTACGAATCCCTATTAATTGGCTATCTCTTGTTATAAATAAATATGTAATATTTTCTTTCTTTTTGGCTCATCTTGTGTTTAGCTAGTTAATTTGCAGCTCAACCCCCCCCCCCTCTCTCTCTCTCTATATATATATATATATATCCCTAAATATTCATTTTTTTGGGGGTAAGATCGATTGAGGTTCATTTGATTGGATTACTAATGCAACACTATCTCTTCTTAGAGAAAAGTAGAATTGTTTAACATGGAATTAAATAATAGCAAAGATGACCAGGAATAAGTAACCATGTTACTTAACCGATTGCTGCTTCGCTGAAAGTTCTTTTGCTAGATAAATCTTGTTCAGATCAGCTCGTGTTCATGATATTCTTGTTCAGATCAGCTCGTGTTTATGATATTCTTGTTCAAAACTGCTTATGTTCGGAACACTTTCTGTTTGGGACAGCTTGTGTTTAGAACAATGATTGCTCAGAACTGTGTTCGTTAAGAATATCTCCTTCTGAGTCATTCACACAACACTTTATTGTAAAAGCAGCTTACCAAAAAAACATTCAATAGAAGACCTTCATAATCATTTTACCAAATAATCCTTGGAAGTTGGATTCTTGGTTATATTTTAATTAAATACTCGATCAACTCCTTCTAGTATAGGAGTATAATTCGGTATTATACGAGGATGTAGTTCTATTCCCTTATGTGGTACATTGATTGTGAGATCTAGAGGTTAATTGACCCGGATTCTGGTGTGAGTGTGAGATAAGATGATGCATATATATTCAACTTTATTCAAGTAATATAAAAAGCTGGAACTACATAGTTCATTTTTGCAGCATGCTTGAGGCGAACAATGAATTTTGATGCCTAAGTGTTGTTTAGGGTCAAGAAACTAATTCAAATGATTGCCAAATTATTTGATGTTCCGGCTGCTTGTTATCAGTCTCTGAAACATAATAGCAAATCAAAAATGTTATTGTTATGTAACAGGGACAATGATGGAGGCTGTTGGGAATGGAATACCAGCAGGAGACAAACTCGTATTGAGGGGCTTGAAATTTCATGGTTACCATGGGGTAAAACCTGAAGAAAAAACACTGGGTCAGAAATTCGTGATTGATGTAGATGCCTGGATGGATCTTCGGAAGGCCGGTAAATCCGACGACTTATTCGATACCCTTAGTTACACCGCTATTTACCGGTGAGTAGCTTGAAGATGTTTAAAATATTGGATGAATTATTTAGCTTGTGTTTTGGTAATTTGATTTTTTTTCCCGCAACTTATGCAATAGCATAGTGAAGGAAGTAGTGGAAGGACAATCTCAGAATCTTTTGGAATCAGTGGCACAAATGATTGCATAAAAAATCGTCACAAATCACCCTCAGATATCTGCTGTTCGTGTGCAAGTTGAAAGCCTCATGTTGCTGTTCCGGGTTCTCTCAACTACCTTGGAGTTGAGATTATCAGATATAGGAGCATTGATGCTCCTAACTGATCTTCGACATATATATATATACACACACATGTATGCATGTATACACAAATGAATGTATGTATGTATCTATGTACGAGTGTTTCATCCTTTGAAAACTCGCATGCGGATGGGAACAGATATGATAAAATTACATACATATATACATGCAGTTTTGTCTGATTCCGGAGCTTCGAGATGTAAGACGCTTAACAATCGAACAAACTCTCTCAGTAACCCTGTTATGTTTAGCATCGAATAAATCAAATACATGAAAATATGAACTAAATGCATGTTGAACTGAAAATCTTATAATACTGAAAACAGAATAGATTGGAATGTATTAATACTCATTCTATCTGCAGAAAGATTAATGATCAGTAAAATCCACATGAAATAATTGGGATTTAAGATTAATCCACTTGAAAATTAAGCCTAATATGTCATATTAACATAAAATAATTGTTTATAATTCAGCCTTGTATGAATACGTAAGGTTTATGAATTTGAATCACCCACTCCCACAAACTTGACAAAACATCATTAAAATAAAGAATTGACATAAAATTAAGGTTTATTTTAGCTAAAATTATACCTTAAGTTTATTTAATTATTTAAAAAATATTTAAAATTATTATTAAAAAAATTCAAAAACCATTAAAGTCCTTCGTTTCAAGCCTCATTGGTTGTCATTGACCATCGCCAACCATCATCGTTGCCGACCGACCACTCATCGTCACTCTCCACTGATCGACATGCACGACATTCTATGATCGAAAGATCCTTTTTCTGCAATAACGTTCCTTCAATTTTTTTATGCAAAATGCTCCTTCAATTAAATGTATTATTATACTACTTTAAAAATGATACATTAAGAATTTCATTAAATTTAGTTGTTATTATTTTAAATTTATTAAAATCATTAACTTTTTTTTTAATCCTTTAAAAAATAGAACCCATATTCCTACTCCAATCATCTCCAACACCGACTCTGGATCCCCCCTGCCCTCTCTATAATAAATCATCTCTTCTCAGTTCATTTTCTTCAAATAATTATTGCCACTTCCCTTCTTTCCCTCTTTAGTTTACAAACATAAAAAACAGAACAACTTATCCACCTTCCCACTACTACTTTCTGCAATTTCACGTTTTGGAAACAGCTACACTAAAATGGCTGCTCCCAGCTGTGGTAATTCCTTTTTCCTTTCTTCCTAAACCCTTAGGTTTAATTTCCTTACTCTGTTTCTTTATGGGTTGTAAGAAAATTGGTTGAATAATCCAAAGATTTGTGCTTTATTAGTTTACTTGAGGATCTGTGTGATTCAAGCATCGGAGATTCTCTTCTTTTTTTCTGGTTTACCTACAGCAAATATTTTAGACTCATAAGCAAGTAAAATGCTACAAATTCCTATTAACCGGCTATCTCATAGTTATAAATACGTAATCTTTCCTTAGAGAAAAGTAGAATTGTTTTAATGGGATTGTAATTCCGAAAATAATACTAGCAAAGATGACCCGGAACGAGTAACCATGTTACTTGACTGATTGCTGCTTTGCTGAAAGTTCTTTTACTAGACAATTCTTGTTCAAATCAGCTCGTGTTCATGATAGGTCTTGTTCAAATCAGCTCATGTTCGGAACACTTTTTGTTTGGAACAGCTTGTGTTTATAACGATGATTTCCCAGAACAGTCTTTGTTAAGAATATCTCCTTCTGAGTAATTCACACAACACTTTCATGTAAAAGCTGCTCTCGAAAAAACATCAAGAGAAGATGTGTATTTTATCACCTTCCTCTTTTTACCAAATAATCCTTCATATAGTGCGCTTATTATCCCATTGGTTTTGAATAAGTCTTTTTAAAAAATTCTAGGGAGGAAAAACGAATAAGTATTTGTCCCTATTGTTTGAGTTCTTCGATCCTAATATAAGAGAACATGTGGTCAACTATCAGGACTATTTGGAAGTTTGATTCTTGGTTGCATTTTAATTAAATACGATGATGCATGGTCAACACCTTCTAGTATAGGAGTATAATTTGGTATTCTATGAGGATGTAGTTCTATTCTCTTATGTGGCATATTGATTGTGAAATCTGCAGGTTAATTTATTCGGATTCGGGTGTGAGTGCTGCTTTGCTGAAAGTTCTTTTACTAGACAATTCTTGTTCAAATCAGCTCGTGTTCATGAAGGTCTTGTTCAAATCAGCTCATGTTCGGAACACTTTTTGTTTGGAACAGCTTGTGTTTATAACGATGATTTCCCAGAACAGTCTTTGTTAAGAATATCTCCTTCTGAGTAATTCACACAACACTTTCATGTAAAAGCAGCTCTCGAAAAAACATCAAGAGAAGATGTTTATTTTATCACCTTCCTCTTTTTACCAAATAATCCTTCATATAGTGCGCTTATTATCCCATTGGTTTTGAATAAGTCTTTTTAAAAAATTCTAGGGAGGAAAAACGAACAAGTATTTGTCCCTATTGTTTGAGTTCTTCGATCCTAATATAAGAGAACATGTGGTCAACTATCAGGACTATTTGGAAGTTTGATTCTTGGTTGCATTTTAATTAAATACGATGATGCATGGTCAACACCTTCTAGTATAGGAGTATAATTTGGTATTCTATGAGGATGTAGTTCTATTCTCTTATGTGGCATATTGATTGTGAAATCTGCAGGTTAATTTATTCGGATTCGGGTGTGAGTGCTGCTTTGCTGAAAGTTCTTTTACTAGACAATTCTTGTTCAAATCAGCTCGTGTTCATGATAGGTCTTGTTCAAATCAGCTCATGTTCGGAACACTTTTTGTTTGGAACAGCTTGTGTTTATAACGATGATTTCCCAGAACAGTCTTTGTTAAGAATATCTCCTTCTGAGTAATTCACACAACACTTTCATGTAAAAGCAGCTCTCGAAAAAACATCAAGAGAAGATGTTTATTTTATCACCTTCCTCTTTTTACCAAATAATCCTTCATATAGTGCGCTTATTATCCCATTGGTTTTGAATAAGTCTTTTTAAAAAATTCTAGGGAGGAAAAACGAACAAGTATTTGTCCCTATTGTTTGAGTTCTTCGATCCTAATATAAGAGAACATGTGGTCAACTATCAGGACTATTTGGAAGTTTGATTCTTGGTTGCATTTTAATTAAATACGATGATGCATGGTCAACACCTTCTAGTATAGGAGTATAATTTGGTATTCTATGAGGATGTAGTTCTATTCTCTTATGTGGCATATTGATTGTGAAATCTGCAGGTTAATTTATTCGGATTCGGGTGTGAGTGCTGCTTTGCTGAAAGTTCTTTTACTAGACAATTCTTGTTCAAATCAGCTCGTGTTCATGATAGGTCTTGTTCAAATCAGCTCATGTTCGGAACACTTTTTGTTTGGAACAGCTTGTGTTTATAACGATGATTTCCCAGAACAGTCTTTGTTAAGAATATCTCCTTCTGAGTAATTCACACAACACTTTCATGTAAAAGCAGCTCTCGAAAAAACATCAAGAGAAGATGTTTATTTTATCACCTTCCTCTTTTTACCAAATAATCCTTCATATAGTGCGCTTATTATCCCATTGGTTTTGAATAAGTCTTTTTAAAAAATTCTAGGGAGGAAAAACGAATAAGTATTTGTCCCTATTGTTTGAGTTCTTCGATCCTAATATAAGAGAACATGTGGTCAACTATCAGGACTATTTGGAAGTTTGATTCTTGGTTGCATTTTAATTAAATACGATGATGCATGGTCAACACCTTCTAGTATAGGAGTATAATTTGGTATTCTATGAGGATGTAGTTCTATTCTCTTATGTGGCATATTGATTGTGAAATCTGCAGGTTAATTTATTCGGATTCGGGTGTGAGTGGAAGATTAGATGATGTATATATATATTCAACTTTATTAAAGTTTTTCCTTGTATTAGAAGGTTCTTTTGCAGGTCATATTTCTGTACCAGTGTCCATATATTTGTCAGACATGGATACTTGAGCAATATAAAAAGCTAGAACTACATAGTTTATAGAGGTTCCTTCATTTTTTAGGCAAACAACGAATTTTGACGCCTTAGTGTTGTTTAGGGTCAAGAAACTAATTCAAATGATTGCTAAATTTATTTGATGTTCCGGCTGCTTGTTATCTCTTCAGTCCCTGAAACATAATAGCTAATAGAAACTGTTATTGTTATGTAACAGGGACAATGATGGAGGCTGTTGGGAATGGAATACCAGCAGGAGACAAACTCGTATTGAGGGGCTTGAAATTTCATGGTTACCATGGGGTAAAGCCTGAAGAAAAAACACTGGGTCAGAAGTTTGTGATTGATGTAGATGCCTGGATGGATCTTCGGAAGGCTGGTAAATCTGACGACTTATCCGATACCCTTAGTTACACTGCTATTTACCGGTGAGTAACTTGAAGATGTTTAAAACATTGGATTATTATTTAGCTTGTGTTTTGGTAATTTGATTTTTTTTCTTCGGAACTTATGCAATAGCATAGTGAAGGAAGTAGTGGAAGGACAATCTCAGAATCTTCTGGAATCAGTGGCTCAAATGATTGCATCAAAAATCTTCACAAATCATCCTCAGATATCTGCTGTTCGTGTTCAAGTTAAGAAGCCTCATGTTGCTGTTCCGGGTTCTCTCGACTACCTTGGAGTTGAGATTATCAGATATAGGAGCATTGATGCTCCTAACTGATCTTCGACATATATGTATGTATGAATGCTTCATCCTTTGAAAACTCGTATGCCGTTGGGAATGGATCAACTTCATCTATGCCTGGTATTGCCTGGCCGGTTTTAGTTGTTTTTCATGTGTTTTATGTATTTGTGTGGTGGAATAAGTCCAAGTTGCCAACTCTATCATTTTGTCTAATCAAATCTTATTCAAATTATTGTGTTTTTATATTTAAGGTTCCCACTATGAAGAATAAGAACCTTCAAAGTTGTCCTATGATGGAAGATATGATAACACTACATGCATAGTATATAAATACAGTTTTGTTGGATTCCGGAGCACCGGGATGTAAGACGCTTAACGATCGAACAAACTCTGAATTCAATAACCCGGTTATGTTTAGCATCAAATAAATCAAATACATGAAAATATAAACCAATTGCAGGTTGAACTCAAATCATATAATACTGAGATTCTGCTTAACTTCTTGAACAGATCATACACAGCTTTTACTTCATTCACAGTAAGTGTTGAAAATATTGTAAGAAATGCTAGGCACTTAGACAATTAAATGCAACAGATTGCTGAAACTAATATCCAGAAATTTGCAAAGCTTGAAGATAATCTGCACATACTATATTCAATCAAAAAAAGTTTAATGTCTATTTTATAACTTTTATATCTAAAAAAATGATTTTGACATAGATGGGTGATTGTTTGTATATTTTTTTCTAATTATTATGTATATATTATCAAATTTAATTTTTATTTTAAACTAATCATAAATATTAATAGAAAATATTAAGTTAACGAGTAAACAGATGAGAGAAGGCTTAACTATTATATTTAAATAAAATCCAAATATAATTTGATTACAGTAGAGGGATCAAAATCATAATTTAACCTAAATATTTCAACTAAAAGCTTAACCATCATAAAATCTCAGCCGTCAATCAGAATGTCGGTATACAATCATGCTCTGCTGACCACTGGAACCAGGCTGGTGGTGAGCTACACCTTACCAGAACCTATTTAAACATGCAAAATTTAGAAACAACTCTAACTGAAAAACCTGCCCTTTTTTCTTTCCTTCGTTTTCTTTCTCTTCTGAATGGGGAAAGAAAAAAATGCAGAAAAATCAACTTTCTTTTTCTTTTATTATATAAATTAATAAAGAATACATTATTTTCGCATTGTTTGTGATTTGAAATTAATGTTTTGACGTTGAATTTGTCGATTCTGATTGTTTATTTGCATTGAGTTATTGGAGATTTTCTTCCTTTTTATTAATGATCATTGATTATTCTAGGAAATATATTGTTTCTAATGATCATTAATCATTGTGGGGAATCTCTAGAATAATTGAAAGCCCAAAAAGGATCCCCATTTTTTTTAATGGAATTGCTTTAGATTAGAGGAATAATTATTGTATTTGATTCATTGCATTCATCATTGAATCATTGGTGTTTGTTGAATTGTCTGCGTGAAGATATAGGGGTGGTTTTGATTGGCTAAAGCTCCATTTTTTTAAATTTATGCTATTTTGTTTCAAAAAAAGAACCCTTTTAGGGAGATAAGAAATGGGATTATAGTTCATGGGTGAAATTAGATATTCATGGATGGTTAAAGAAGAAAAAGTGTGAGAATTTAGGTGTTCAAATGGGAAATACTTGTGCCAAATCAGCGGAGGAAGCCGAAAATTATGAGAAAAAACAAGATGGCGATGGCAATGAATGTGAAACTAAAGATCAGGATCAAGCAGAAAGCAAAGAACCGGAAGAATCCCACACGGTTCAAAAACAACCTCCGGAAGAAATGAAGATGGAACAACGATCGAGATCCATTGAAACAACCCAAAGGCAACAATCAAAAGCCAGTGAAGCAATAGAAAGACAGCAATCGAATTTCCATGAAACAACACAAAGACAACAATCGAAATCTCACCCTAAAAGACTTAACTCCAAGCCATCTCAACTTGCAGCATTTAATGAGAGTAAAACTGAGACTAGGAAAACCAAAAAGGCTCATAATGTGAAGAGGCAATCATGTGCAGGGTTGAAGGTTGAATCAGTGTTGCAAACCAAAACAGGTCATTTGAAGGAATACTATAACTTGGGGAGGAAGTTAGGTCAAGGACAATTCGGAACAACTTTCCTTTGCATCGAGAAGGGTACCGGGAAAGAATTCGCTTGTAAATCAATTGCAAAACGGAAGCTTATGACTATTGATGATGTCGATGATGTGAAGAGAGAAATTCAAATAATGCATCACTTGTCAGGGCACCCTAATGTTATATCCATCAAAGGGTCTTATGAGGATTCCATGACGGTTCATGTTGTGATGGAGTTGTGTGCAGGGGGTGAACTTTTTGATAGGATTGTAAAGCGAGGGCATTATAGTGAAAGAAAGGCAGCTGAGCTAGCAAGGATTGTTATTTCTGTCGTTGAAGCTTGCCATGCCATGGGAGTAATGCACAGGGATCTCAAGCCTGAAAATTTCCTTTTCGTGAATGAACAAGAGGATTCACCTCTTAAAGCTATCGATTTCGGATTATCAATATTCTTCAAACCTGGTATGTTCAAAATGGTTCTTTTTTATCACTTCTCATTTATAGTTAAAATGAACTTTTAGTCCACTGTTGTAGAAGACTTACATTCCTTAGATAGTACTTCATATATTATTAAATTGTTTCATTTATAGGAATAAAGAGTTTAGAGATTTTTCCACAACGAATTGAAATTATCAATGTATTGTTTACTTAAAGAAGGTCTTGAAATCATTTAGGGGATATCTTAATTGATGTCGTTGGAAGCCCATATTACGTTGCACCCGAGGTATTGCGAAAGCGATATGGTCCGGAAGCGGATGTGTGGAGTGCTGGGGTAATCACTTACATTCTCTTAAGTGGGGTGCCTCCATTTTGGGGTGGTAAGTGTTTACCAGATATAATTTATGTTATTATTTGCTTTGTTGTTGAGATCTTAAGTTTTTCGAGCAATCTAGTTTTGAGCATTTGGTCTATTTGCTGTTATTTTGATATAGAAACTGAACAAGAAATATTTAACGAGGTTTTGAATGGTGAGCTTGACTTCTCATCTGATCCCTGGCCTAATATCTCTGAAAGTGCTAAAGAACTAGTGAGGAAAATGCTCGACAGAGACACAAAGAGGCGGATAACAGCTCACGAAGTACTACGTAAGTCTCGTTACAACTTAGATGTTGATAAATGATCTGAAGCTTGTTTACACTTTGAATTCTCAGCTGATGTCCTTTTATGATCTTTTCATGTGTTTAGCTGGCTATTATCAGGCCAAAAACTTATCTGTTACTAATTAGCTTAATTTGATACTCGACAACTTGCAGGCCACCCTTGGATTCAAGTTGATGGGGTGGCACCAGACAAGCCACTCGATTCTGTTGTCTTAAGCCGCCTGAAGCAATTTTCTGCAATGGATAAGCTCAAGAAAATGGCCTTAAGAGTAAGTATCTGCCGTTTATAATGGCCCGTAAATCTTCAGAAAAGATACATATTGAAATTAAAACTCATTTTTAGTGCAGAAATCCCACGTTTAAATGATATTGATTTGGTTAAAATCTCCATTATTTCATTGCTTCTTGTAAGGTCATTGCCCAAAGACTTTCGGAAGAAGAAATAGCTGGGTTGAAAGAAATCTTCAAGATGATAGACACCGATGGTAGCGGTCAAATCACCTACGATGAACTCAAAGATGGATTGAAAAGATTTGGCGCTAATCTTGCTGAATCCGAGTTTCATGCTCTAATGCAAGCAGTAAGTTACTTCGACTCTTCTCAGTGTCTGACCTGAGTCCGAGTAACATCGACAGATATCTTGATACCATAATGATACCAATTTGACATGATATCTTTTGTTTATTTGGGAATCTCAGGCAGACGTTAATAACAGTGGTACAATTGATTACGAAGAGTTTGTAGCTGCAACATTGCATCTAAACAAGATTGAGAGGGAAGACAATCTATTAGCAGCCTTCTCGTATTTCGACAGAGATGGCAGCGGCTACATCACTCCGGACGAGCTCCAAAAAGCTTGTCAAGAGTTCGGCATCAAAGACCTCCGCCTCGATGAAATCATGAAAGAAGTCGACGCAGACAACGTAAGCACCTCGAAACCATTTCGTACATGCATATGCAAACCTGTGTGTTTTGGATCAACTTAAACCTCTGTAATAATGTGATTCCTGGTGAATAAATTATCATGTTTTTTTTTCGTTTTCCACAGGATGGTCGGATTGATTACAATGAATTTGTAGCCATGATGCTTCCTAAAGTTGGTAAGAAAGGTACATAATATATATTTTTGGCAAAATATATTATAGTATTTTCCTAGGGCATTTTATTTAGTTTTTATTCCAACTTTCTAATTTAGCTCTTCAAAGTTTGAGGATCATCACCTCACAAAAAAGATTCATTGTTATTGTGCTTGAAATTTTTGTATACGCATTCTTGCTCCCATGTATTGCTTCATACTTTTGTAATTAATGAAATTTGAGCTTTAAGAATTGGTAAAAATACCTTTATGTTTTTCATTATTTATTTGTGATTTATTTCTATACATTTTTGCTGCCTTTTTTATTTTTATGGATAAAAAATCTATTAAGTTCCTATAAAAAATTGCACTCAATTAAATCTTATAGTTAAAAATTTAATCAATCAACTTCCTTTATTAGTGTTGATCATTTATATTTAATTTTTTTACTTATGTGGTTAACAAATCCTTATAATGATGACATGTGTGATTAAGTGATTTTTTTATTAAAATTTTAATTGAGTGTAAAATACATATTTATAAAAATTATGTTAAATATTTTTTAAAAATTATAAAAATATAAAACTTAGATTATAAGAAAAATATAACAAAATATCTCTCATATAATAAATTATGCCCACGAATATTAGTACAAGTAAGTGGAATTCAAGAATTTGAACTTGTAAGGCAAGTTTAAATCTTACCATCGTCACTCTTGGTGGACAATCTGTAAATTTCTATGTAAATCTCAATTAGGCTTTAAGTATGCCCTGACCCTAAACTGAAGTAACGACACCTAACCTAAATTTTTTGTCGTCAAAAAATTATATAATAAATTATTTAAAATATTATACTATGTTGTTGGGTAAAGTATATAAATGGTCACTGAACTTTTCAAGCACTTGTATTTAGGTCCCCAACTTTTAAAATTTGTAACACAATCATCAAACATTTAGTTCGTTTGTAATGTGGTTCCCGACGTAACTAGTCGTTTCACTGCCATTAGAAGATGACATGGCACGTGAGGAAACTGTTTGCAACTATAAAAATTAGGGTAAAATATATAAATGGTCACTGAATTTTTCAGGAGTTTGTATTTATGTCCCCTAACTTTTAAAACTTGCAACGCAATCATCATTTACATTCTAAACCCCAAATTTCAAAATACTTCAATTACATTCTAAACCTAAAATTCCAAAATATTTTAATTACATGCTCAACCCCAAATTCATAATCCATTCTCAAAATTTGTCATATTAAATTAAACTTGAATCAACAACACTAAACCCTCAAAACATAACCCTAAATATTAAATTTATCCACCAATTAACCCAACAAAATCCCCAAACAAACCACCCAAATCACTTGCTATTTTACGCAGAGCTTGGACGAATAAGAATGTTGGAAGGAGATTCTTTGGATGCTTTAATTATGGGTGTTCTAGGAGAAATTGTAATTTCTTTGTTTGATATGATCCCCATTGAATCCACAATTACGTACTGTTTTCGTTAATTTACTAAGGAATATGAGAACCATGGAGATAAAAAAAAGGCTTGAGCGAGTGATTTGGGTGGTTTGTTTAGGGATTTATTGTTGTTTTTTATGTTGGGTTAATCGGTGCGAAAATTTAGAAGTTATGTTATGTTTTGAGGGTTTAGGGTGTAAGAGAAAAAATATTATTGTTTGTATCTGACTAAGAATCACTCCAAATCGAACATTAAAAAAGAAAAGAAAAAAAATCAAAGATAATAATTTCATTAATAGTTTTACTTTTCCCCCCTAAAGAAATAGTATTGGGTACACGGCTTTCGACCTGTGTCATTGTTGTGTTCTTTTGGATGCTTTATGCTTCCCTCTATGTTTCTTCTTTTCCCTGTGGTAGTCCTTTTTCTCCTGTGAATGAAATGATCTCACCTTAAAGAAAGAAAGAAAAGGTAATTTGTGTAATTATAATTATAACGACTTGATTACAGTTATAATCATTTCAACAAAATGTAATTTATGTAATTGTACTTTGATCATTTTGTACCTGGGAATTAAAGATATCACGATCATGGCTTGAAACGCTCGTCGTTTTGAATTCCGTCGTCGACAACATTTTTATTTTTAATTTACAGCTTGTTTAATGGCGCGTGGCTCTCTCTCTTTGAGAAGGACTTCGCCAAAACCCAGTCCCATGAAACTTTTCCCACATCTCTTCTTCAAGCTTAAACAAAGATTTATCGTCTTCCTCCGAAACCTTCATCTCCAATAAAATATCTTTAACACAAACCATGGACCTATTACTCAATTCGCCCTCTTCACATCCCCAACCGTTCCTCGGTTGAAACAGCCCTTTCTTCCGCCTCCGTATCAGGCGGAAAGCACGGCGACACAACCCTGTCGGGACTTTATAAATCACTAAAACCAGAAGGTTGGCTATCCCGCAAGGACAACAACAACAAACGGCCGCGCACTCGGCCGTCGTCCCCCCACAAAATTCCCCGAAGTTGGCTCTCTTTCTGGGACTGCCTCCATGGCTTCCATCGTCAACGCCGGAGAAAGACGTGGGATGGCTTTGAAACAGCGGTTGCGGCCGGTAGACGGCAGTGGTGGGAGTCCTGAGGAATATCCGATGAGACATTAAATAAAAAGGGTATTATTGATTGGATATTGTTTTGTTCCTCGTTGAATGATATGTTTTCAACAGAATCCAAACAGGGAAACAAACACACAACAAAAACAAATGGGTAACGAATATCAGAAACAGAGAAAGATAAAATAGATGCTTAGAAGAAATGATGTAGCTGGGTTTTTTTCTTGGGGGGGGTTGCTTTGACTTGCTTGTCGAGTTGTCGCTATTATTTAGGGTTACCATTCACCATAAACCAGAGGAGTTTGTGTCCTTTAGAGTTTAGATAGAGAGTGGAAATCTGAAGCTTTGAATTCTCTTGTTATTATAACTAAAACGTTTTAGCCTTTTGGGTGTTTCAAGAGCTTTCTTCCGGAGACTCATTCGTGCTTACTTGCGTACATTAGGACTCACCATAATCAAACTTTTTATTAGTTCCGCATTTAATATGTGATATATATATATATATATATATATATAGAGTTGAACAACTCTAATTTATTATTAAAACAAATATATTAATTATTAAAAAATTTGATTAGTAAAATCACATCAAATTAAATCAAATCAAATCAAAAAAAATTCAAATCAAGTTAAACTTTATTCATTCCTATTTTTTATACTTGAAATTAAATCGACTGTTGTAAACTTTATAAAAATATATATATAAACATATAATGATTTTAAATATTTGATTTATTGTCTATTAATTCATGTAATAAAATATCTAAAATCTATTGGGTGATATTGGGGGTAAAAGATAATATTAATTTTTCAATAATATAACTGATTATAAGATAATATTTATTCATAATATTTTTTAACTATTGACAATGCACGCATATTGTTTTATTTGGATTTAATCAGGAAACAGCAAAACTGTATAATATATTTATACACTATTAATTTACCAACATCTCATTGAAAAAATAAAATGTGATGTGACCTTATATAATTCATTATTAAGTGACCATGCCATGCCACCAAAGTTTTTCCAAAATGACGTGCTTCTCTAATTTTATATCCACTAAAATGATTATTTATTATAAAATCTTCTAGAAATTTACTATTGGGATTTAAATATATATATTTATGTTATTGTTTCAAAGAAACTGTAAATTTTCATCAGTGTTTTGAAAATCATATAAGACCGGTTGGTTCAACCAGGAATCACTGTTTAGTCCGGTTCAATCTATACCGGTTGAACCGTTATTAGTGAATCGGCCGGAACGGCTGAACCGTTCGAATTGAATCGGCTGAAAATAAAAAAAAACCGGGAAAACCCGAAAAAAACCGTCAATTTTGTTTTTTTTTTTAAAAAAAATTAAACCAAACAACGTCGTTTGTTAAACGAGCCAAGTCGAACTCGAGTATTGCTGAGCTCGACTCGAACTTGAAAACTTTAAAAGTAAGCTTAACTCGACTCAAACTCACGAGCTAAAAATTATCAAGTTCAACTCGAACTCGAAATATAATATTTAAACTTGAACTCGAAAAGGCTTGAACTAAATAAAAAATTAGAAACTTGATTGAAGCCTAAAATTCGAACTTTATTGAAGTGAAAGAATAGTCCACTCAATGCTCACCAAATGGCTCTATGATTTTGAATGTCAAATTATCTCTATTATTTATAGAAGTTAGTTGGGCGCTCTTCTATGTTTTTAGTCATGTGAGATTGTTTTGTTCTCATATTTTTATTCTTTAGACTTTTGGGATGCTCTTCTATATTTCTTAGCTATAAGAGATTGTTTTTAAAAAAAATTAAACCAAACAATATCATTTTGTTATGATTTTTTTTGCCCCAAATTCATTTTTTAATTATAGTTATATAATTATATTTATTATTTAATATGTTTTACCTTAAATATTATGTTGTAGTTAATTTGAATCATTTTGTTTCACTTGATTTTATGGTTTTTAACTTATATATGTTATGACTTGTGATATAAAAAATTATTTTTTATTAAATATTTTTTGTATTTTATTTAATTTTTTAAATAATTATGACATCGTCAGGTTCTTTCAACCGATCGGATTAGTTCGACCGATTAAACCAATGAACCGATAGCATGACCGATTCGCTAATCGATCCGATTATAAAAACCATGATTTTCATATTGTCTTTCGGTTTAGACCACTAGCCGCCCTCTTTGATTTACTATTAAATAATTTGGTAAAGTTAGATTAAGTCATTAATAAACTAATAATTTGGTCAGTCGTGGATTTCCGACTAACAAATCGGGTTGACACATAAGAAATTTAAACCGCTAATTTAATCAATTTATATAATCCAAATTAAAAAATAACTATATTATATATCACGTATAGTTGTTGTAATTTAATTAACTAATTATTAAAAAAATAGAAATGTGTGAATTTATTAAAATTCTAGAAGAATGTAAACTAAGCTGCAGTTGCGGCATCCGTAGTGTACCTGCTCCATTTAGCTGGGAGAACTAACCAAGCGTGTCAGGTAAACTGAATGATGAAGCGAGTTTTGCATACAACTTAGCCCAAATTGGCCACGTGGGCTTACCTAATTAATACGAAAAGTTGATTGATAGTGAACTAAGTATTTCTATTTATTATGAGATATTTTAATTCAAAATAAAATGTCGGGTCAAAATATTTCAAGAAAAAAGTATTAAAATAATTATTTTACTAAACATTATTGACCAATTTTATAATTATGTCATTTGAATATTCGAAAGATATTTTCTACAGGCTCGAATAATATATCTATTAAACATTAAAATTATTATTTAGTATGAACCAAACAACTTCATGGTAAATGAATTGTTGTTATTCTTTAAAATCTTAGATTTGAACATCATGAATATCAAAAGTGTGAACATTCAATGACTAAAAATTACCGATTATTTACCTACATCATATCAATATATATACTATTGTCCATTATGATTCCATGATATATGCAAATTCAAATTATAAATTCATAATTTTAACTATTTGTATGGTTGATTTAAGAACCTTAGATAGTACTTTACCCTAACCGCTCTCCCTTTTTTTAGTCTGTAGAGCTTGTGTTGTTTTCTATATATTAGAATGATTTTTTTATTTTGTTTAGTTGACAATGATATTTAATTTGACGTTGGTTATCGATCGTCGATTATATAATTTTTTAGGTTTTAATAATAATAATTTTGTATTCGTGATACGTTTTTCGTTTTTTTTCAATCATTGGGTTAATTTTTTATTTTATTCTTTCTCATGATTGGATTTAATAATATCACAACTGATCAATATAACGCCTATTTATAATCCTATTGATATTCCTTGCTATAGACTCTTAGATTGAATTTGAATACACGATTTTACATTATTGGATAGTTTCTCATAATGTTCGACTATGATTTGTGATTCTTGATGATCTTTTAATAGTTTAATCTTTTTTGTGGTTCGTTTGCCCAGTCAGAATTGTTCGTATCTATTTTGTGTTTGAGTCTTTTCGTTGAATTTTTAATATTTTTCATGTATGATTCTTATATGATCTATAGATATTCGTTTCTGTGTTATAAGAAAAATGTCATCATTATGCATTTAGTTTATTATGAGATTTATAAACATTTATTGTAATTTTGATTTTTTCTATTTTTTAATAAGACTAACAGTTTTTATTAAAAAAACTTAGAAATGATGTATAGCCTCAAATATAGTTTTTAGAATTGTTTTTGAGTGAGATTTCAAAGTAATAAAAAAGCATATATTACAAGTTTTGATATTGATATTGTGCGGAATTACTGTAAGAATCTAGGTAAAATAGTTATTTATAGAGTATAAGGAGATATTAGGATAGAAGGAAAATATAATGTTAAATATAAATTTAAAAAATAATTAAATAACTAAAATAAAAATATTTGAACGAGAGAAATATTGAATAAATAATTTACCCATTGTTATATCCAGGCGGGAGATATTCTTAAAAGAGAAAGTAATTTTAGTGATCGAAAATGTCTTATAATATATGATTTTAATTAATTTTTTTGGATTTATAAAAATAACCAATAAATTTACAACGCGAACTTCTATTTCGCAACACAGTTTCTAAATTCGCAACGCGAATATGAAAATTTTCGCAAATTTCGCAAATCGAATTCGCTAATTTCGCAACTCAATTACTGATATATGTAAAAACGGTAGAAAAAATCCGGCAAAAAAACCGAATTCGACAATTTAAAATCTGAGTTGCGAATTTAGCAAATTAACAAATTCGTGATGCGAAATGTAAAATCTCGCCTCTTAAAGAAAAAAATTAAAGGACATAAAATGCACTGAAGTATTTTCAACATGTGACATCTCAATTGCTAAGTCCACGTATGAATCTCTTAATTAAACCTACGATTGTAAATGAATTGAACAAACACGAATGAGGGTATGTTCATGTTCGTTCGTTCGTTCTCGTTTAACTTTAACCAAATAAACGAACTGTATAAATGATTTTTCTTTAAGAGGAGAGATTTTACATTTCGCAACACGAAATTGTCAAATTCGCAACTCAGTTTTCAATTTGGCGAATTTGGATTTTTGACCGGATTTTTCTACCGTGTTTACCTATATCGGTAATTGAGTTGCGAAATTGACGAATTCGATTTACGAAATTCGCGTTGCGAATAGTTGTGTTTACCTATATAGGTAATTATCATTGCGAAAATTTCCATGTTCAAGTTGTAAATTTGAAAACTGTGTTCCGAAATTAGAGTTCGTATTGCGAATTTGAAATCGCATTATGATTTTATTGGTTATTTTTACAAATCCAAAAAAATTAATTAAAATCGTATATCATAAAACATTTTCGATAAGTTAATTTTCTCCTTAAAAATAAAGAGAACTAAATTTCATCAAAATAATACTTGTAGGGTTAAACGTCTAATGGCTGCCAGTGTCAAACCCACCAAAAAGCATGCAAAAATACCAATCGATATGGAGCAATTTGAAACACATAAAGTGGATTGCATTTTATGTTATTTTAGATTAGAATATTACAGACTACTGGCTTTTGTCTGATTCTTACATGACGAAAAAAGTATCAAATTTTGGCATCAAGTTTTCATCTTGTGGATGCCACCATCCGTCACAAAAACCCGAAAATAAGTTCCAAAAATTGTTCCTCTCAACATACCGGACTTGGGGTTCATAGCCTCTTCACTCACCGCCACTCAAACTTCCTGCAAAAATTCATTAACCCACTTCAAAATTCTCAATACCCAGTGCCCCAAATCCCAAAACTCACTACTTGCTACCTTCAAAGCTCCATTCTCAAGCTTTTGGTCTTTGATGGTGGAAAAGTGGTAAACTTTCATCATTTCAAACCCTTTATTTCCTTGAAACAGAGGTCTAGAAACATGAACTCAGGCTGTTATCAAACCATTCAGTTCCCTACAAAAGAAAAGCCCGGGTTTTTGTCATGGAATCCATTGAAAAGCTCAAGATTAAACGGTTACAAGATTGGTGGTGTCAAATTCGGGAATTTTCAGATTAGTCAAAGGAGAGAAGACATTAGTACGAGGTTGAAATCCATGTTGAGCGTAGACAGCGTGGTGGAGATGGAGGGAAAGGAAGGAATCAATAGGGGGAGTAAATATGATGCAATTGTTATAGGGTCTGGAATTGGAGGGCTTGTTGCAGCTACACAGTTGGCTGTCAAAGGAGCCAAGGTTTTGGTATTGGAGAAATATGTGATTCCTGGTGGGAGTTCTGGGTATTACCAAAGAGATGGATACACTTTTGATGTTGGATCTTCTGTCATGTTTGGATTCAGTGACAAGGTCGGTTTCTTTCTTATATGTGATTTTGTTTAGCCCATGTTACTCGGATTCGGATTCGGATTCGTGCATGTTCTAGTTTTTTCATGCATTTGAAGTGGATTATGTAACTTGAGTAACTTATTGTGTTTAAGCATGTTTGAATTTGCCATATTTTTTAGTTTTCGTTGATGTGTGGTTCGATTTTTGGCAGGGGAATCTCAATTTGATAACTCAAGCATTGGCCGCAGTTGGGCGTGAGATGGAGGTGATTCCGGATCCGACTACAGTTCATTTCCATCTACCGAATAACCTTTTGGTTCGAGTACATAGAGAATACGATGAATTTATTGACGAACTCATGAGTAAGTTTCCGCATGAGAAGGAAGGGATCCTTAAATTTTACGGCGAATGTTGGAAGGTCTGTTCAGATTGAGGTGACCGCAACTTACTGTAGTTTTCTATAGTTATATTTAGTTCATTATTCACTTTTAGTACTTGTATCTATATTTGGCTAGATCTTCAATGCTTTGAACTCGTTGCAATTGAAGTCACTCGAGGAACCAATCTACCTTTTCGGACAGTTCTTTCAGAAGCCTCTTGAATGTTTGACGCTGGGTAAGGACTGCTAAACATTTAATCACTTGATGTGAAAATTTCAAACATAAATAGTTTTATAGCAATCGAGTTGACGTCCCCTCTTTGTCTACAGCTTATTATTTGCCCCAAAATGCCGGAGATATTGCTCGAAAGTACATGAAGGATCCCAACTTGTTGTCTTTCATAGATGCTGAGGTGTGTGACAAAATTACTCTCTGTATTCCTAAAAGAAGAGAAGGGAAAATGAGTAGTAGAGTCCGAGATAGTATTTATTTCAAGGTTTTTCTACTAATACTGAAGTATTCCTGCAGTGTTTCATAGTGAGCACGGTTAATGCTTTGCGAACACCAATGATCAATGCAGGCATGGTAAGCTGTTCGATTAGTTTTTGGCAACTTTTGTCTTGTCTCTCTTATTATCGTGCCTCTTATCTGTAGATTATGGCAGGTTCTATGTGACAGGCATTTTGGAGGAATTAATTACCCTGTTGGTGGTGTTGGTGGAATCGCAACGTCTTTGGCCGAAGGACTGATTGATCAGGGCAGTGAAATACTTTACAAGGCAAATGTGACTAACATCATACTTGATCAAGGGAAAGCTGTAAGTTCATTCTTAGTTTTGAAATTCAGTTTGATGCCTAAATCATTGATGGATCTACATGTTGTAAAATGTTATTTATTGCTTATGGAACTGAATTTCGGATTGACTTTTGTAGGCTGGAGTGAAACTTTCAGATGGAAGGGAGTTTTTCGCCCAAACCATAATATCCAATGCTACTCGATGGGATACCTTTGGTTAGTGTTTGAAAAGAGCTGGTTACATTCCATATACTGGTTTTTCAGATATATTTTTGAATGACTGAATTGTAATCCGTGGTCTCACAGGGAAGCTGTTAAAAGGAGAAGGCCTTCCAAAAGAAGAAGAAAATTTCCAGAAAGTTTATGTTAAGGCTCCATCATTTCTTTCAATTCACATGGGCGTTAAAGCTGATGTTCTGCCTCCTGATACTGATTGTCATCATTTCATGCTCGAGGTATTTTCATTTCTAATTGGCTTCCTTAAAACCAACTCTCTCAGACACGAAATTGATGAGTATAGATTTTCTTAGTAGTTGACTAATTGTTTTATTGCATATTTGTTTCTCTATACGACAAGGATGAGTGGACAAGATTAGAGGAACCTTATGGGAGCATCTTTTTAAGCATTCCAACTGTTCTCGATTCATCGTTGGCTCCAAAAGGGCGTCATATTCTACACATATTTACAACTTCTCCTTTAGAAGATTGGAAGGTAAGTTCAGGCCATAAATATAATCTAGAAGCCGCCCTTTCCGGTCCATTATACTGACCGTCTATTTTCGAGTTATGTTACAGAATTCTTTTATATAAAATATGTTTCGCTTTATTGAATCATTTTATAAATATTAGTATTTTGGCTTCACTAGGGACTTCCTCCAAAGGACTATGAGGCGAAAAAGGAGCTAATTGCAGAGGAAGTCATTGAGCGGTTAGAAAAGAAACTATTTCCGGGGCTTAAATCATCCATTGTTTTTAAGGAGGTATATGCTTCAGCTTTATAATACTTGATGCTAATGTGGCTGTTACATGGTTATTTATTTATTTTAAAAAAAGGAAGAAAAAAAGAAGTAAGATGTTGAAGACCAGAGTAACATTATTATAAAAAGCGGAAAATGGGTTCCATTGTGAACTGAACAAAACCGACTTCTCGGTTTGTAAATAAGTAAACACTCTACATAGAGTCAACGCAACCATACGATCCTAACTATTTTGATTCTCCAGTTACGAAATCTTTTGAATATCACTTACAGGTAGGGACCCCAAAGACACACAGACGGTTCTTGGCTCGTGACATGGGAACTTATGGACCGATGCCTCGTCAAATTCCCAAGGGCTTATTAGGAATGCCATTTAATACAACAGTGAGTCCTATAGTGATCTCCACTTGTTTTTTTATGGATTAGGTAGTTTTAATACTCTTTTCAGCTGTGCTGCTAGTTTGATGGTGCACATACAATAATAACTTGCAGGGTATTAGTGGTCTTTATTGTGTCGGAGATAGCTGCTTTCCTGGACAAGGGGTTATAGCGGTCGCTTTTTCAGGCGTAATGTGTGCTCATCGTGTTGCTGCAGATATTGGTTGGATCTCTCTTTCCTAAACTAGTACAAAGATAGCATTATTGTCAATTTGAATTAGGAAAGAAAAAAATGCATAGGAAGTGAGAATTTACTGTAAGTCCATGTTGCTTGAACGCAGGGGTAAATCGAACATCGGCAATCGTCCAACTAGGATACTTAAATTTTTTCATGTCAACTGCTTTGGTTATGCATGTTTCTACCCTCCTGGTTGACATATATAGTTCTTTTTCTTTCTGTTTTTAAGGGCTTGAGAAGAAGTCTCCCATATTAGACGCTGCTCTTCTTCGATTACTTGGGTGGTTAAGGACATTGGCTTAAGGTAACATATCTGGAGATACAACCCGTAAAACCGACATCTGCTTGGCAAGCATCAGTAGCCGGCCGATCGGAGGTTCAGAGAAATGTTTTGTTGTTTTTCCTCTTGCAGGAAGTTGGACAAAAATATTTGTAGAAAAAGATTACATGTTAGTCGAATGCTTAAAGTATATTTTTTGAGAAAAAAATCGATCAAATAACTTGATTTAATAAAAATTTACATTTCAACTGAATGCTTGAAATGTCATCTAAAATTTTCATGACAGCACTTTAACAATTTGAACCAACAGACAACATTATAAAAGTTGGACTCATATCACATCGAATGAAAATACAGAGAATAAATCTCAAATTTAGCGTAGTAAAAGGACAAAAACCATAATTTGACCGAAGTATATCATCTTTAAGCTCGGGAACATAGATTCATCTTCCGCAAAGACAAGTAGGCCAAGAGACGGTAGCCAAAAATCATGGCTACCAATGCTGCCACTTCCCTCAGTCCATTGTCTGTTTTGATCCCTTTAAATGGCGGCACCATGTCCTGGTATTGAACCTTTAGAAGAAGATTATAAGTGTGATAGTTAAAAGACATGTACCGAATCCAGGATATGAACACCGGCACTCTCTGCAAAATCAAAAGTGAATTTCAAACACGAATACTCGAAGAAAAATGAAGGGTCGGAACAAACTTCGACTACGGATTACATGAAATGAAGCTATCCATTGTTGTTGATAAGATTTGTTAGCCTACCTCTACAAAATAACCACCAGCCAGCATGAAGGTCATCACAGTAACTGAAGCCAGTGTGGTGGCTCTCTTTAAGTCCATTAAAGTGGCTCCAATTGCTAGTCCAAGACCCTGCAAAAGCAGCCATATCCCATGGTTGATTTTTCACATTAATGGTATCTTTTAAACCATCAGTTGCAGATGGGGCGAACCTGAGCCGCAACGATGCAGAGGAAAACTGTAAGCATGCTGAGGAAGAAGGGAGCAGCACTCAGTCTCAGGCCAGTCATGAAATAAACTACTAAAATGAAAAGCACTGGTAATATAAGATCGAGCGGAAGGTCGCTTGTGGTTCGAGCTAAGAAGTAAGCACTCAATCTATACATGTCTGCTGCTCTTTCTTTGTTAAGCATTGCTCTTTCTTGAGGGAAAGTGAAGATTGCAGTGAAAACAGGGAAGAAACCCCAAAAAACGGCGATAAAAAACAGCAGCCCCGCCTGCAAGTTTCTCATGGTTCCATTGTTAGGGTATTAGATTAGGAAAAACTGACCTTGATGTCCTCTAATGGTGAAACAGATGATCAAAATTTACCTGATCTTGACGGCCTTTAATGGATTTACTATCTGATTGCCACCATAGTAATCCCAAGATGATTGCTGTGGAAAGAACTTGAGTGATTCTCAACCAGCTGAAATAATCATGCCTTCTTTCTTTGATCCCTCGGATGAACAATATGCAGTATTGTTGCCACCAGCTCGCTCCCCACTGCCGCTTCGAAGACGACACTTTCAGCTTTAGTTCGTCGTCTAATGGAAGAGGAGCCATAAGTTTCTTCTCGGTTTCCATAAATCTCGACTCGTAGGCTTCCACAAGGTACTGCTTTCAAATGAAAGGACCATTAAGCATATTGCAGTTTTCAACGTCAAAATTAGCCATGGAAATGGGAAGTATTTTACCTCGTGGACAACCCTCGGTGGTGGCTTCCCATTTCGTGTTTCAGTTTCGGAATTCTCCATTTGAACTTTGTCTTCGAGTTCCGATGGCACGGAGATATCATTTAGGTTCCCATTTGCAAGGTCGAGCAGAAACTCTGCTGGATTCATGGCAATTAGCGGGGAGCATCCTATAGACGAGAAATAAACCATTGCTTCCGAAGCTTTCCCGAAGTACAACAAACTGCCTTTCCCTAAAAGAATCAACTTATCGAATTTGTGAAAGAGCCTACTTGATGGCTGGTGGATCGTTGTTATCACAGTCTTCCCGGCCTGCAAATGAGTGTGCAAAATAAATTACAAACATTTTCGGATTTTGAATTGCAAGTTTGGCTTCAGATATCAAACCTCAGCTATGTCCTGTAATGTTTGAACTGTCCTTAAAGCTGTTGTGGAATCCAAACCGGAGGTTGGTTCATCCAGGAACAGAAGGGAAGGGTTGATTATGATCTCGTTACCGACACAAACTCGTTTCCTCTCCCCGCCGGACACACCGCGGACGAACGAGCCGCCGATCATCGTGTCCTGGCATCTATGTGTGTGACAATTGCAAGAACAAGTTTAGACACTTAAAAAACCAGTGTTTCGGAAAAAGCAGAGATGAAGTACCTCTCCAAGCCTAGCTCATAAATGACATCTAAGGCTCGTTTTTCCTTCTGCTGTTTCGTTAACGCCGGTGGCAGCCGAAGAAGAGCTGCATATGTCAATGTTTCTTTAACAGTAAGGTGAGGAAACAAGACATCATCTTGAGTCACGAATCCGATCCTGTCGTGAATACCACTAATATTATACCAATTCTTATAATTCGACCCGTCCAATTCACCGAAGCATGAAGCTATATATTCTTACCTGCTTTTAAGAAACTTGGAGTAAGGCTGGTCGTTATACGTAATGGAGCCGCCAATCGTGGACTGAGTTAACCTGCCGCCGAGTAGATTAAGAAGTGTGGTCTTCCCACTTCCTGAAGGTCCCATAAGTGCAAGAACTTCTCCGGGGTTTACAGAACCTGAGATTCCATACAAAATATCCTTCTCTACACTACTTGTCATTCCTTTGATAATCACCTTGTAAGTCACATCTGTGAACTGCAAATTTTCAGGATTCAAATAAAACAACCTTCATTGACACTTCAAAACTTTTTAAATATGTATAAAAAAATTAATCTACGCGGGACACATACTCGTATCCTACACTTAAACTCGAATCCAAATAATATAACAGTTCTCCATCCTTTGCCTGTCCAAATAGTTGGGTTACCCAAAATTATCCATGTTCCAATTTCCATTAACAAACACAGATTTCAAGACCTAGTGGGAGCGAATACTGGGAAATCTTCATGTTTGAAAACCGTTACCTTCAAATAAATTGGCAAAGTAGGCTCTGTTTGAAATTTTGGCTTGCAAGTTCCTGCTTCAATATATTCCGCTGCAATAAAAAATTTACTATTTGCTTAAGAAATCCATATAAATGATAACATGATACCATTGAAATTCATTGATTAATATATAATATTTTGCTAATAATCACAAACTCCAGGCCATTATTATATTTAATATATATGCTAATAATAAAATTTAGATAGGGTTTTAGTGCATTTATTAAGGGAAACAATATTTTAAAAAAAAAGTGGGATGAGAAATAGCAAGTATATATTTATTAAAATCTGGATTTGTTTTTATTAAAATTTCATTTAGAATAGATACAAGATTCAAGAGGCAAATGGAATTTTACCTATTTGCATATAATTTCTCATTTATTTTCAGGATTGAAGTGACTTGTAACAAAATAATGTTGGGAAATCATTATTTGACCTAACTTTTTCGTGTAACATAAACAAATCATTTGCTTACATCTCTACAACCACTGCCTCTATCTATATTCGTGGCCAAAACAATACTTCTATTTTTTTAAATATATAATCATTCACACACAAAATATGGTTTTAAAACGAAGCATTAAGCCTTTTACGTAATTATTGATATTTTTAATAATTAGAAAAAAGAAATTTTCATGAGAAATGAAAGCATTATTGCATGTATATAGTATAATAAAGAAAAAAAATGTAAATTATTATGACTAAAATGCTTATTTGACTGAGTCAAGCACGGGTTGGGTAGTGTTTGACTTGAACTCATTAAAAAATTTATTGTTTGACTAGATTAGTTTCTCGTTAAATTTGTTAAAATTTTCTCATTAAAAAAATTATTGCTCTGCTAGTTGTTCGTTAAACTCACCAGAATTTTTTGGTAGCGTAATTATGATTTGACTTTTGGGTATAGTAAATTATTAATTTAATATTTTTTATTATTTATTAAAAATTAATATACTAGTAAATTAATAATTAATTAATTAATAATGTAACATATTTTTAATATCTAGTAGTAAATTAGTAATTATTATTTAGATTTTTTAATACAATAATTTTTAAGATAATTACTAAAAATAAAAAAATAATGAATTGCTCACGAACTTATTGAATCAAGTTAGAATTTGCTCTAATCAATTTGTAAAGTTTCAAGTCAACCTCGAGTTCGAGTCGAATCAACTTAGGTTCAACATTGATCAAATTTTAACTGAATCGATTTCGAGCGGCTTAGAGCTATTCAACTCATTAATCGCAAATTATTGCATTTTAATTGTTTCATTTGTTAATTAGATTTAAAAGCTGTAGCTTTTTTGCATGAAAAGGCATAGATATAAAAAAAACTTACGTATATCGTCGTCGCTAAAGAGTTTTGAATCGGCGATCTCGTCCGGTGGAACAGTGAAGCCAGTGAAAGAGAAAGAAAGGCCCAAGCTAGCGCTAGAGGCACGGCTGAGCGCCGCCCCGCTGCTCAATTCGTCCAAGTCCAGCTTCATCTGAGCACTCCTCGCCTTCCGAATGTGATTGTTTTTGCTACCGCCGCTCCGTCCGGGCGATGCGCTAACCAATAACCGCCTGCTCGACTTGCGAGACAAAATTCCGCCGCTATCGGACGTTCCCGGCGCTTGATCGCTTTGCGACGCCGGCGATTTGAACGCCGCCGCCAGTGTTTCCAACAGTTGATCGGATTTTGTTCGACCCAACGTCGTTGAATTATTTGGTTTCTCCATATAGAAAACAACTGTATCCACGTAAGGTTCAAACAAAATAAAAGAAATGAATAAAAAACAATGCTGATATATGAGGAAATGTATGGTACATAAGGGTTGCCCGCATGAACTGGTAACTATCGATTCCGTATTATCACGTAAAAAGAAAACTAAGATGAATTCAAGTTTAACTATTTTTTGCAAAGTTGTTGATTTTCTTGATCATTTTTGTTTCCCGAGAAAATTTCAACAGGAAAAAAATTATCAGTGGAAACTGGACTTCTGTGAGACATAATTTCAATGAAAAACACAGTGAAGGAAATAGTTTAAGTAAAAAAAACAATAATGATTTCATTTTCCGTACGTTTTTTATTTTCTTATGAACCAAACAAGAAAGAGCCAAAAAGATGAAAAATAATAGTGCTTGCCTTTTGAACTGTTAAACAGCTTCGGTACCAGTAGTACTTATAAGGTGCAATTAAAGAAGGGAGGAAGACATCAAATCACCAAAATAACCTTCGAATTCATCAAGTTTTACAAGTACACCCATAAAATCCGATTATAGCTGTTAATCTGTGATAATAACTGGACTTTGATTAGTAAGCGATACAAAACATACAGTGGAAGTAACTAGCACCCATCACGGTCAACGACAATGACCATTCTTTGTATTACACGTATCCGAACAGAATCATATTTGTATTTTTCCTTGTAGAAAGTTTTCGCCTTTTTCTCTGTTAAATTCTTTTGAAATACCTGCCGATGAACTAAGATAGCGTTAAAAATATAACAATTCATGAAGAAAAAGAATGAGAATCGTTTATGTTGTACGTTAGTTTTAGGGTTTCATTGTTGCAGTTCAGTGGGGTGGATTTGATTTTGGATTTTATAAAATTAATATAAGAAACGATGAATTGTTTTGGAGGGTAACGATGGATGTTTTTGCCTAATAAATTGGGTGGCAGTAATTAAGTGTTGATGTGGTATTGTTTGTCACTTTGTGTGATTACCTCTCTGTCAGGGAAGCCAACAATTTTGGAACTTTGTACACTACCCTTTCTCCCACATTACTCCCTTGTAATTTTATGAACAAAACAAATGTTGTTTCTTCAATTTTGAAGCCTCTCTTTTTGAGGCTCCAATTCCTCCTCGTCGTGCTGCAGGTTGTCCCTCCGCTTCTAATGATAGGAGTTAAACGAAATCTTGGTTTGGTTGTCTATCACTCATTTTATAATCTTAAATCTAAATAATATAAGTATATTTTACTATATTCATATATATATATATATATATTAATATAAATATTGAATTAATTTTAATCTTTTATTCTCACTCATCCAATGATTCTACATTTATATAAAACTAAAAAATTATATTGTATAAAGAAATCTTAACCCTAGGATCCATTACATGCAGGGACAGACTTACGTTACAAGTGAGGGACAATTGGCACCCCAACTTTGATGGTCTAATTACCTTTAAGCCATTGGTGGTTTCAAAACGGTTGCAATTAAGCCTTTGCTCCTCCCAAATCTTTTTGGTATAGTTACTTTTAGGATACTGTCAGTTTTAGAAAGAATGGAATTAAGTCTTGACCCCAAATTTATTTGATTTAATTATTTTTAAAAATTTTGTTTGTTTTAAAATTAAACAATTTGCTCTCCTCATAATTCAATCATGGCTCTATTTCTAATTACATGATGTAAAACTTTTTTATGTTGATTTAAAATCATTAGATAAGTGAAAATTTATGGTTAAGATTAACAATAGGAAATAATAAGATATTTATTAGAAATATAAACAATGAATTAATCCCAATCTTTTATTTTTCACTCATCGAATGGTCTTAAATCTATGTAAAATTAATTTGTAAGTGTATGTATATTATACTAAATTACACATTTAGTTCTAAACTATTATTTTGTTTCGTTTTAGTACTTCAACTTTTTTTTTCAAAACCATACATAACGTCTAGTTTAAGTTTCAATTTGATACTTCACCATTCAAAACTCAACGATAATGCTGACGTGACATGACATATCGATTTTTTATTTTTATTTTAATTTCCAGACCATCTTTCTTTGTCGACGTTGCTTGGTTAATTTTATTCAACCATTATGAATTGAACCAGAGACGCTTGTATAAGATACAATACACTCAACCATTTAGCTAAGCTAGTTATTTAAATTGATTTCACCATATTTTATATTTAACTTGTATAATGGTATCACAACAATATAAATATTTTTTAATTATTATAATATTTAAATACGAGACACTTTAAATTTATGACCGAAAGCTTAACCACTCAACTATAATGTGAATCTTTTTATATACTAAAATTGATATTTACTTATATCAAAACTAAATTAAAATACAATTTTTTCACTTTGTTATAAATTCATATACTTTAAAATCAATGATCTTATACACAGTCTGATATGTTTATGTTTTTTGTGTACCATATCATGTTTATGTTTTTGTGCATTGTATTGTGTTCATGATTTACTGCATTAGTTTATATTTTAATTATTTTTATGTTACTTTTGTGTTATGTTTCATTCATTTATATTTTGTATAATTTGTTACAGTCATATTTATATTAATGTAAAAATTACATTTAAAATTTTAATTTAAGGTATCAAAGCATAGCCGAAGTATATTCTAAAGATTTAAGATAGTTACATATACGGAAAATATTTATTAAAAAGAACAAAAGAGAATTTATAAGGCAAGAAGCTACTATGTACTAGTATTAACTAATGGTGGGACCAATTACATAAGAACAATATATATAAAATAAAATAAAATTGAGCAAACTCGAAATGATAGATTCATGGGAGCAAATTTGTACCCAAAAAACACAAACTCGGAGCATTAATATTTTGTAGTGCCTTTTCTGTATATAGCATTCGCAATTATTCAATATCTTAGCAAAGTTTGCATTTTACTTTCCCTTGCTCAAACGACCATTTTGTTCTATTTTCATGTAAGGTTTGATTTCAATATCTTAATAATATTTCTTTTAAAATTTGAACTTTAATCATCTTCTTAGAAATATGATAATACATAACTTTTAATAATTATATATAAAATATTTCATTTTAATTTAATTTCTGTAGTATTTTATATTAATTATAATATATATCTAAAAGAAAAATCATATAGTCGAATCCATCCATCCCAATTAAACACCATAGTCTAAATTAAAAAAGGGGCGGTGCCGCCCAGTCCAGGGTAAGCCATGTGATAAGGTCAGAGGAGTCACACAGAGTCGGAGGGAGTCTCAACTTCTCCTTTATTTTTATTTTTAAAAGTTAAGATTTTTGCCAAAATTATTTGAATTTGTCATTTCTCATTCCGTGGCACTTTATTTGAAGAATCATTACTGTATATATTTGCTCCTAAATAGGTTACCGTCATTCTTTAGCCACGTGTACCGTCTGGAATCCTTTAAATGGACACGTCACTAAGTGTTTAAGTGGCTGCCGGTTACCAAATGAACTGCGTTGACACGTTGAACCAACGAGAAGCTTTGGCCATCGGAGAAGCTTCCACGTGGAGTTTTAGGGTCACGCGATTGGAAATTTTAACTGAAATTAGTTAATGGAGTTGCTGTCATTGCCAATTGGAAGATGGACAAGAGAATTCTGGAAATCTTAACACCCTAAGACGTGTTCATTCGGTTAAAACGATGGCCTATCGAATTAAAATATATTTAATTAAATTAATCGAACTTTTTTTTAATCGTTAACCGAACCAATTTTTTTAAAATATTATCTAAACCGAATAATTTCGGTTAATTTTTTAATTAACCGATTTTTTTTAGAATTTTAGAATTTAATATTTTTAATTTAAATTTTTTATAATTAATTTAAATAATATCTAATTATAAATAATATCTAATTAATTTAATTCAAACATTTTGCATTTAGTTTTGATATTATTTTAATTAGTTAATATTGATTTGAGTTTTAAATGGATTGGGCCTCCTAAGTATCTTAATATAATTATATTTAAAGGTTATTTCGGTTAATTAACCGATTTCGAATTGAATTAACCGTTAACCGAATTTCAAAAAAAATCTTTAACTGTTCCTTGACCGAACTAATTCGGTGGCCGACCGAATTAACCGAACTAATTCGGTTCGATAGATTAATTCGGTTAAAACCGAATTTTGAACACCCCTAACCCTAATATAGGTATAACAAAATAAAACTACAAAAGATATGAGTTGTATTATTATATATTTTCTTTAAAAAAATGAAGGTTTTTATATTGGGTTTATCTAATTTGAAGTATTTTTATCAAATATATATTAGATTTACTTTCATGATGTAAAAAGTGTGTGAATTAGAAATTTTAAGATCTAACAATTCATCGAAGATGATGGTTGACGGTGATTGTTGACAATGATGAGTGTTGGTTGACGATGAAATTTTTTATTGAATTTATAAGTCAATTTTATATATTATCTAAAGTTCAATGATTAAATTAATATTTTATGTGAAGTTTAAAAATTAAGTTAATTTTTAAATATTTTTACTTGTGTGTCACGTCAATAAAGTGACAATAGTTAATGGTCCAATGATCAAAATAAGGCTGATAAAAAAGTGACCAAAATGTAACTTTTTAAAATCAATGACCAAAAATAAAAGTGATTACCAGTGTAATTTACCTAACTTAAACTATAATTTATATAATAATTAAAATATTTTTATAAAATAAATATAATTAATGTCAACCACAATATAATCTAAATATTATTTTATGATAAATACACCAAATTTTTAATTCGACTCAACAGTTATGTTTTAAACTTTTAAAGCATCTCCAATCCTGCGCCATAGTGGAGTAAAATCTCCACTTTGGAGCTCCAATGCTGCGCCAAAGATGAGCGCCAGTTTAGCGTGGCAAGCAGTTTCACGCTACATGTAGCTACGTTACAATTTTTTTTTTTTGTTTTTTGTTTTTTTAATGATTAAATTAGATTAAAGTAGATTAAATTATATTGAAGTAGATTAAATTATATTGAAGTAGATTAAATTACAAGATAGATAAAAATACATTGAAATTAGATAAATAAACGTATTAATTTTTTGAAACATAAAAATACAACAAACATAAAAACATATAATTTTTTAATTATTAAATTAGATTAAAATAGATTAAATAGCAAGATAGATAAAAATACATTGAAATACATATTAATTTATATTTATGAATGTTTTATTTATATTTTTATTTTGATATTTATTAGAAATGTATATGTTTTATTTTATATATGTAAAATCAATATTATAATAGTTAAATATTATGAATAAAGTAGAGTTGGTGGTAATGTAGAGATAGTGCTGGAAATGAATTAATGTTTCATCTCTAAAGTAGAGATAGAGATGCTCTAGAGTAGAGATGAGAATTGGAGATAAGGCAGGGTCTCGGAATTTAATCATATCTTATTCAAGACCAATCCTCAAATATTATTTTGTGAAGAATATATCAACGTAATA